CCCAGGTTGTTGAGTTGTTTTGGTTTTTCATTTCATTCTGGTTTCATTATTATTTTGTCAGTTTCTTATTTTGGTTACCGCTGTCCTGTTCCACTTTACCTTTACTTCGGTTATTCTCAGGGCTTCTAGTTATGATTATTTGTTTATTTGTTACTTCAGTTATAATGTTTCTCACTTTCTCTCTCTCTCTCGCTTCAGTCTGCCTCCTGCTCAATGCACTCAGTTCCGCAACCCACTAGCTCATCAGCCCAGGTCATTTGTTCAGCATTCTATCTCCCCATAAATTTTCTTTTAATCCGAAGAGTTTTTGCACCGCTCGTGGCTAGTATTTTTGACAGTAGGCAGACGGGAAAGAGGGCGAGGAGAGGGGGAAGACATGCGGCAAAGGTCGCCATGTGGCAAAGGTCGCCAGGATCGGGAGTCGAACCCGCAACATCAGCGTCAAGAACTGAGGCCTCCAAACCTGGGGTGTGTTAACGCCCCAATCTCCCCAGTAATTAAGCAATTCATTCTCAGTCACTCCTTGTCGGTTCTCAGTGTTTTTTTTTTCGTGTTAGATTATTTAGTTTCACCCTGGCTCTCTGTGACTTTTGTAAATTTTGCTCATCATTTTTTATGTTAAAACTACAACATGAGCTGTGCTCCCAACTCCTCTCTGCATTTTGGTTTGTGCTCTAACACACTCAACGTGAGAAAATTGGAACTTGGAATTACTGGCTGCTTTACAAGTTTGAGCTGTATTACAGAGCACACACAAAAAACAATTCCTGAATGGCACTTTTGTTGACCAGAGGAAAACAGGGCCGTTAAGAAGTACTCATCGAGTATTTATTCATATTTTTAAGGGGTTAAGGGTTAAGAGCTCTTGGAGAACATTTATTATCTTGAAATGACCAAAAATGAAAATGAGTTTGACACCCCTTCACAGTCCAGTCTTATGAAACCCAATGTTGGAATATACTGCCTAATCTTGTCGATAATAAATCTCTTTCATCAAATCAGACAGTAAGTCCTCCAATCGATCAAAAACCGGCCCATTCAGCTAAATTTGCCCATTTAGCAAAGAGGTGTCGTGCATTATTGCTGAGCAACAAACAGTCTAAAAAAATTAAAAAATCATAAATGTAATATGGTAATAGCAGCAGGGTGTTTAACAAGCAGTGGACAAACTCTACACTTCATCACAGAGAGGATCAATAGGAAGAAAAGACAGTGCAGCCTCATAAAAGACTAATGTTCTTTCCAAGAATAATAACCCATACAGAGGAGCCAATAACGCTGCAGCACCGGCGTGCAGCTCCAAACACAACAGCTCAATAAATCATTGCAGCACACATCATTCCTCAATCATTCTGGCATGTTTGCACATCAGCAGGGCACTGGAGGAACCCAACTATACCTGGTAGTTTTAAAAATGTTAATCAGGGTAAAAAAAGAAAAGAAAATGAAGGCAATGAGTGAAGAAAAGCATGATGAAAAGAAATCATCTTCCAGGGTTCAATCTCTGTGGGACTCCCAGGAAGGAAGGCATTAAGAGGGAGAGTAAATTAGTATCGCATGTTGTATAGACCTGTGGGATTCTTAACGGATTCCATTTTAAAGAAAACCCAATGCAGGTGTTTTTAAGAACTCTGCGGGAAAATTTTAAAATGAACAAATAACCCCGCCGCCCAAAAAAACGGTTCCGATATCGATTTTCAGATTTTGCCACGATCACAAACTTCCATGTGTTCTGTCGGGGTTTTGGATTTTACGAATGAAGTGTTACAAGGTTTTCCACTGAAAACCTTGTAACACTTTTTAACTCAAACTGAAGTTTGAGTTAAAAAAAATCTTTAAAGTTGACAGGAAATTTGAAAATACCCCTTGATAATGATGTATTATAGAAAAATTTGAACACCCACTATAAAGTCTGAAAAAAAATGCAAATATTTTAAAAGGACTTAAATAAATAAGCAATGTTTTGCCTGGTGAGGGCACAAGTAAAGCCTGGTAACCCGCCAGGCTTATAGTACACTGAGGGAAACCCTTGTCTTCAACCTCATCAACCAACTTTTGTTTTTGATCTACCTGCCTTGCATATATAAATTAATCTTGAACTTTAACTAAGTTTTAATGTAAAAAAAAAAAAAAAAATCAACAGAACTTACAAAAGTCACAGAGAGCCAGGGTGAAACAAAATAATCAAAAACTATTAAAAAAACCCAACAATGAGAACCAGGAGTACAATGGATGACGAGAAGCAACAAGAGTGGACAAGAGGAACCGGCAAGGAGTGACTGAGAATGAAGTGCTTGAATACTTCATGCCACAGATTCTCAATTGAATTTAGGTTTTGCCTTTTACTAAACCACTTAAACGAATGAATATGGTTTGACCGAACCCATTTTGTTGGAGCTCTGCCTGCATGTTTAAGGTTGAACGATCGCTGCATTGGATTTGGATGCACGATATCAGCTGTGAGGTCATTTTTTTGTGGTGTTGAAAGTGTAGAGAAATAAGGCATCGGTATTAGTTATTGACTACCACCGTAATATTGATATCGGACATTAATATTAGCTCAAATTTTCAGATTTGTGCGTCCTTATTGAAATCCCAATTCAATATGTGCTTTTAACTGTAATGACACAAAATATGAAAAAATAAATAAAATAAAAATAAATATTTATTTTAAGTATCAGACAAACTCTTTAATCCACCTCCATATTTAAACCTGCATATGTTCAGCCATTTATCTCAGTTACGAGGCTAAAAATAAAGGGTTGTTGTTTGTTTGGTTGGATATCTTCAGCTATCCTAAGCAGTCTTTTACTACACAAAGGGTTCGAATAATGCATGGAGGCTTCATTCTCAGGGCTTGTGAATTACAAAACACCCCAATTTTTGCTTAAAATTTGAATATTTGTCTGCACATTTAAACAAGCTTCTGCTTTCACTTCTCTACTGTTCAGAGGACATACAATTCAACTTAAAGACTTTTCTAACTGAATATTAGATCATTTGTTTACGACGGAGACTCCGGCTTCTAATAAGCACTATTTCTAATATTTATTGTGTATGCTGTGAAAACAAGGGCGACATGCAGAATGTATGATCCAACCACTTTCCTGGGATCCTTCCTAAAGCCCTGCGAGAAAACCGCTTCATAAACACACACACGCACGCACACATAAAACACTGCCCTACATTTTTCAGAAATGCTTTGATTGAACTGTTGACATGTTTTGAGCTTTAATCAGGAGTTTATTGTCTATTCAAGTGTTGAGATAAATGAAATGTCTTGTTACACGTTTTGCAGCTCCGGGATCCTCGCAGATCTTAACATTTTTCTAGTTCACACGCAGCTGCCAACCCATCGACTCACATACTGACGCATTAGCATAAATATTTGAACTCATGTTGTATATAAATGCATCTCCAAGCGGCCGTGATTGGTGCCCGAGAAGATTTGTCAAGTACTGTTGGTGTTTCACGATCCAAGTTAGTACAAGTACAACACGTGCAGGAATAAGCCATGTTGTTCAGGCAGGAAGAGATTTAAAATCGGAGCGTTTGTCTTTGCAGAGAAAATCCCTTGACTGGCTGCACCACAGGGGCAACAAAGTCCTCCAGCTCCTCTGAACCAAACATAATATCTGTGCAACAATGCGGCATTTCCTGTCTGCACAACCTTCAGAGATTAACTACAGCAACAAGCATTGCCTTGAATCACTCACATATCAGTTCCTAAATGTCTCTCTGTGCTCATGTATGTTCACACCAAACATTTGTCAGTGCAGAGAAGGCGACCAAGCTGACCTCAACGAGCCTTTTGTGATGACAAATGGGGCACACTTAAAGCCTTTTGATTAGCATTTCCTTAAACTGAATCGAGATTTCCAGATATGCCATATGACTCTTTAAAACTCAAAAACAGTAAAACCTTGATCTCTCTAAATCCTCCTTAGGTGTGGATTTGTGCGTGCATGATTCTTTGTCCCGTGTGTCTCTGTGTTGCCCTGTGATGGACTGGCGACCCGTCCAGGGTGTATAACCCCCGGCCCCTCTTGCTCGTTGGCTGCTGGAGGTAGGAACAGAAGCCCTCTTACCTCGCTAGGGAAGAAAGCTGATGGATGGATGTTTTAACCCCAAGAAAACCCGCAGCAGAAACACGTCTACCGTTTATGTTAAAGTGAGATGTCTTGTATGTACACAAGGTGTGTGGTAAATGTTGATGTTACTCTCTACCTGCTGAGCCTGCTTTGTGGAGGTCAAGTGGATATACAGTGAAACAGTAGATATTGTTCACTGCATACTTTACCCCGATCTGACGTGTACACTACTTTAACTCTTGATTTAGTAACTTTTTGTTGAGAAAAGATGTTTATTCTGCCTAACAGTGTTATTTTGTAATTATTCATCTTTATACTCTTATTTAAGAACTTTTTTTTGAGATGACTACTTTTTTTTTCTTAATGGATAAAAATACATTGAAGCACGGGCTGACTGTTGAATATAATCTTTGTGCACCATTTCCAGTGTGTCTGTCTTTAAACATAAAACAACTAGACAATTAAACAAACTAAAATTCACTCCACTGCACACAAACTGCACACAAACCAAACGTACTATTTTCAATCACACAGTCAAATATGCAAAACATGGAATAATAATAATAATAATAATAATAATAATAATAATAATAATAATAATAATAATAATAATAATAATAATAATAATAATAATAATAATAAAGCGGTTATTACACCACAAGTGGCCCTTATTTTGAATAAACATCCTTTATTACAACCTGAGTTGCGATGTGAGCTCTTTCTTTTTACTTTTGCTCGGTTTTAACACGTTACGCCTCCGACTAGATTAATATTCCCTCGCTCTCCCTCACGTATTAATGCGCTTTTTCTGCCTCTGCTTTATTATGAACGTGCAAGCGCGCGTGCCAACCGGGACGCCACTCACTTGTGCGTCACAAGCGCCAGCGCGCGCGCATTGGCTACTTTACGACGGAGGGACATCCACGCGCACCTCAGTCAGAGGGAGGCAACCGCTGCGTGGAGTCAGAAGCCGAGACACCCCGCAACAACAGCCAGACCGCCGGGACGCGCATGAGGCAGAGCGCGAGGGGGAGCACCGGAGGCTGCCGTGCCACGTGAAGCCAGCCGGGGGACGGAGCGGAGCGGAGGAGCGGCGAGGAGGGACGTCCAGCACCGGCGGGAGAAATCACCGCCGCACGGCCGTTGTGTGTGAACGCCGCCGCGCGGGATGAAGGTGGGTGACGGTTCGCTCCCATTGTGTAATGACAGCATCTCTGCCCCCCATGGCTGCTGTAGTAACGGGACTCGGTGTGATGTACATGAAGGGTCCTTCATCGGAGGTGTTGCTCTGTTTTTGTTTGTCTTTTTGTTTCATTTAGCTTTTTAAACGGGACACTTCACTCGACTGAGGGCAGTTTGAATACGAGCGGATTCGTGGATCCGAGCCGACTCTCCCCTCCCCTCCGCTCCCTCCAGAGGACATGTGTGTCATTTGCCTGAGATTGGCGGCGGAGTGATTTTCACCCTAAAGAATAATCCCAATTTGGCGTGTCCCAGATTTGGTGGAGTGAGACCTCCGGAGGGGAATTTGAATGTTTGTTTTGTCCTGCAACATAGGAGGTGACTGTCTCCTTCATAATAATTATATGATGATATATGAAAAAGCTCCTCCTCAGTGTTTAAACACTTTGTGTTCAAACATGAAATCCACCAGAAACCCCCTTGCAAAAAGAAGAAATTATGGGAAAAGACCAGCTTTGCACCCAGAGGACAATTAAGAAGAAATTGTTTATTGCCCTGCTCCCACTGTTCAATATTTTCCATTGTGCACATGTGAAAACTTTCCATTAGTTGATGGGTTTATGTGTAGATGTAGCTTGACTTTCCATCTTCTCTCCTGGATGTCAGCGAATTAAAGCCTGTACCCAGATATCAATGTAAAAATCTATTTTAGAATAGCATGTGAAATTTATTTTTGCTGTTTTGTTGTCAATTATCATTGTGATGAATCCTTAATTCACACAAGCAAATCTTTCTGGTGACGTCACATGAGGTAAAAGGAAGCTGGTGACAAGTTTATTTATTATTTTACTTTGTCCAGTTGTATTTTTATTGTTTCTTTTCTCTTTATGTTGGCTGTTTTTAATCAAATCCACCCTTCAGTGGCCTTTATGTGTGGCGCAGCAAAACGAACTGGCCGTATCTGAGAATGCTGCCTGAGTTGAAGACTGCAAATTGTCAGCAAGAAAGCACATGGAGGTGGTTTTTGAACATGCATTTCAGTGTCAAAGACCACGAGAGATGAAATTTGAAACGTTCACAGGTTTATCAACAGATTTGTACCAGTTAAAGTTTAGAAAAACCACCAATAGCGTGCAGTCTAAGCCAACTCAAACACACAATGCCAGAACGCCTCTTTTTCTGCCTTTTGTGATGTCAACAGCCCACACAAACACACAGCAACTTCAGCAGGTTTTTTTCTTAAAATCTTTTTAATTTGTAAAATCTTCATGTGAAAAGCCAAAGCTTATCACCAAGCTGTGTTTTAGTCAGATCTAGACATGTTTTCTAAAAAAAAAAAAAAAAAAAAAAAAAAAACATACCGGTAGTTGCATCTTTAAGTTCTAAACGAATAACAAGTTTTATTAGTTTGCTTGAAATGTCTTAAATCAGCAAGTTCTGTGATTTATGGAATTATAGAAATCAGTTATAAATTGTACCAACCAATTAAACCAATTATTTAGAACCACATCCAGATACTAAATGTGAATAAATAAATAGACTTTATGATTTCTTAGTTGAGTATTCCTAAAATAGACCCAAGTTCTGGGAGTCAGACAGAAAATCTATTTATTTCTCTCATTTATCTCTCTTTGATGAGGATTTTTTTGTTATTGTTGGTTGGATAAAAACAGCAAATTGAAGCCTGGTGCCTGTTGACAAAGACAGTAATGCCATCAGTTCAAAAAAAGCACAAAAGACAAAATGCTGCTTTAGTCTGTGCCCACGCAGGTTTTAAAAAACCTCTAAGATCTGACACATTACAAAAGCTCTATATAAGTGACACACTCCACCCAACCTGTGTGCTTTTCTTGAAACTTCCCGCTGACTTCCAGAAATCCTTCCAGCCTCCATAAAACATCACAACAGGAACTTTGGTCCGGATTTGTGGAGGCTTCCATTGTGAATTTGGATCAGTACCTGTTTTCTGAGATATCTCTGTCTTTCATCTTCGGCTTCTTTACTCACGGTGTGATATTTGCCTTTTTTTCTGCCGGTTCTCATCCTATTTCTTCTCTGGACCGGTGAAATGCTCCCTGAGTGTTCGGCTTCGCGTCACCAGCTCAACAATCAATAAACTCCGTCCTCAGCGAGAAAGAGGGGATTCTTTTATTCATCATATTCAGAAATCTATTCCTATTTCAGAATAGTAGATATAAATGAATGACACTTATTTTCAGAGTCCGTCAGCCACTTATTATTTTATAATCACATTTAACAAATGCTCGTTTTGTTGTAATGCAGGCCATGTGAACCAAGGTGTTCTGATTTTGAGCACTCTGAAGAAGCCATTACTGCTCACATCTGGATCATTTCTAGATTAAAACTGCTTTGATTTTCTGCCACAACTGGTTTCATAAGAAAGTTTCATTAATATATAAAAAAAGAAGAGAAAACATTTAAGGCTAGAACGATTAATCAAATTAATCGTGATTAATCGATTGTTGAAATAATCGCCAACTAATTAACAGTAAACTGATTAATCGTTAACTGGAATATAACAACAAAATGCTAAAACTGTGCAAATGAGCAGGCCACTATATTTGGTCAAAACTCCGCAGGTAGCATAGTTTTAGCAGACACATCCTTTGCCGCAAATAATCAAATGTTCACTAAAGGAATAACGATTTTCAATTAACTTTAACTTCAAACTTTTTAATTTCTTATTTAAAAAAGAAATTGGACCACTTACTCATTTAAATATTTTGTTATATTTCTAAAGGCTTACGTGCTTAGACAAAAAAAATCTGTATTGTGCCATTTGTTTTTACATGATTAACTAGTAAATCGTCAGAATAATCTGTTACTAAAATACTTGTTAGTATTCTACCACTGACCGCCTGATCTTTGTCACTGATGATTGTCAACAGTATGCAGTTTATGCTCACAGTTATTAAAAAAATAAATAAAAATAAATCAGTGCTTAAAAGTCAAGCAAACCACTTGATGACAGTCCTCATTTTCTAATTTATGTGATAAAATGTTATGATTTCTCCTGTTATCTGGTGTGAATTCTCAGTTTGTCATATCTTTATGGTAACCAGCAGCACTATGACATTATATGGTGCTGAGAGGCTGAGATTCACTTTTTGAAATACATGCTTCACATGAGGAGGATTCACGCACTCTCCTTCTGAGTTGCTATTCTAGCTGCTCTCTCTTGTCTCTTCACCTGCTTGGTTTTCTCTGCTTCATCTCTTCCACCAAATAACTCAGAGCTTAAAGGGAAAACATACATGTAAGCAGTAGGTCTGTATAATTATGTCGGTTCTGCGATATTTATTGATTTTCGATTATTTAAGCCATGGGGGTCCATAGGCTTAAACCGTCTTTTTAACATGTCTGGTTTGTGACGACGTAGCAGCAAAACTCCCATTTGCATATTGAGAGTCCACAGAGGCTGATAGTCTCCCCTCTCAGTTCCTGGATTCCTATTGAGTCTTTGAGTTTTATGTAAGATCCACATGAATTAAATGACAGAAACTGATTTTCTCACTGCATCTTTGATTCATTTTGTCCAGCTGTGGACTGTTAGACTCTGTCCAATCGGAGTCAGGTATTGTGTAATTTTTAATCAGTTTTCAGTTAATTAAATCCAAGTCTATGGAACACAAAATGTCACTAAAATCACTCTGTCCTTTTAAAATCTTTCAGAAAATCGTAAAAGTGGATCAAATTATTGCATCGTGATCAGAATATGGTGTATTGTATTGTGAGATTATTGTATCGCTACACCCCAAGTAAGAAGGGAAAACTATTCAGGAATACATAGTAGTACTTGTCAGACTAACGATATATCTTATCACATGTAGCTGAAGACATTTCTTTCTGTTGCTTTTTATATCTTCTTCCCTGATGGACATCGTAGCTTCATCTATGGCTCTCTTTTCTCTGTCAGTTCTTGGTCTTCTGAGCTGCATCTCTCTCCATAGCAACAGCTTTGTCCAAATAATAGTCGTAAGCAGTTAAATTGCTCAGATCATCTCTGTGTTTGCTGAGATGGCACCGCTAAGCTGTTTGCTTTGCTTTTTGTTTCTTTTTTCCTCCAACTGTTTGTTGCATATTTAATCATTTTGATGCTTCTTTCTTCCCTCCTGCCTCCATTCCCTCTTTCTCCCTCATCTGTTCATGCTCAGTCTTTTTCCAGAATAAGTTATTTTCTGCAATACATTTCTGGCAAATATTGCATCAAATAAACAACAAAAAAATAACTTTCACAACTTAAATCTTGAATCTTGACCAATAGGAGAGAAGCTGACTCAGAGTGGCCGCCCACCAGACTCCCTTCGCTCCTTGTCACTTTCCAAAGAGTTGGAAGGAAAAAAATAGAAAGAAAATTGTAAATGAGTGGATGAAAGAGAAAACAGGAGAGGTGAAAAGGCAAAGACGACATTTTAGAGGGGAAAATATATCAATATAAATAAAAAAAAAAGTGTAGCTCTCTTTAGCAATTTTTTTTAAGTAGCCTGCAAAGCAGAAAACACAAGAAAAAAAACAAACAAATATTTATATCCTCAGTGGAAATTTAAGCAGATTTCAAGGGAAAAAAAAGAAAACAATAATACAAACATCACCTATGCCCGGGAATTCAAAAATTGTAAATTCTCTTTGTCCTCAGTGAGAAACTTCAGCAGCTTTCAAAGACAAAAATGTAATGAATGAAATTGTCTTGGCTGAGAAAAAAACAAGCGAAACAAATTTTAGCTCAGAGAGTATCACAGCCTGCTCTTGCACAGGTATTGTTTTTATTTTCATCTGGAATTGTAAAGCTTTACATCCTGGAGGCTTCAGTGGACACTGCTGGGGTAAAACTGATAATTAGTTTCTATTGACCTGTAAATAGTCAAAATACATCACACATCTGAACTGATCGAGGCCTGCTTGTCATTGATGTCATTATTTGCTGAAGTGACATCTTCAATTTTAGATGAATTAAACCGGGACAGTGAAACGTTCAAAAGAGTCTTTCATCTTTAAGTTCATGAGGTGAGATCGCCATGTTCTCCTCTCTTGACATTTACATGTAAATGTCTTTTATATCCCTTTTATGTCGTTATGTTTAGATCTTGTTTGCATGTTGGTACATTTGTCAGTACTTTCACTTAAGCAGAATAAAGATGCATGATTGCATGTTTCCCACATGCATGTGTTGTTTCTCCAGGTTGTCTGAAACTATGCAGCTTTTGATTCTGAGTGCATTTATTGTTTATCTCTGTGCCGCCTGGTGATGGCCTATTGAACACTGTAGGGAAGCACCTGTGACTGTGTAAGGATTAAACAGATACAGATGGATTTGCTCCGAGGAACGTTCCACATCGTGTGTAACATAGATAAGCAGCGGTATCAGAGAACAATCTGCGATAAATAAAACGCTGTACTAGTTTTCTTGTCTTTTCCGGTGAGGATTTTTCCACCTTAGCTGACCAGATTTATCTATTTAGGTTGATTTTTGTGTGTCTTTTTTTCCACCTCCTCAACTAGTCCACTGCTTCTCCGGTCAGTCTGGTTTATCTCTTAGCCTGTCTGCATCACTGCGACTTCAGGTTAGCAAAAAAATAAATAAAAAAAGCAATTAAATAAAAATAGCTGAAGGAAACTTTTCTTGCATCTGCATGTTATTTGGAAGTCCTTGAAAATGTAGACATTAATTCTCTGTTTAGACAGTTGAAACGGAAATACATTTGGAAACAAGGAGATCGAGCAGTTAGCCTTGAGTAAAAAATGCCATTGTTTTTCTCTATCCCAATAATATTGCAGAAATTTTAAACAAATGAGTGTGGAGTGCTTTTATTTGAAACAGAAAAGCAAGAATTACTACCAGCCTGAACATTTACTGCCATATTTAAAGGCTGTTTAGACTCAAGCTTGAGATAAAATACAGAATAAGCTTTAGATAATATCTAATTTGAGGGACAGTTTTATGTTTTTTCCATTTTATAGCACAATTAGGGAACTATGTCACATTTTGCTTAATATTTTTGATCTAGATTCTAGTGCAAATATCCAACTACATTTGAAATAAGACAAATCTTGAGAGACTGTTTTAAATCAATAAATCCTTAATATTATTTCACTTGTAACGTGGGAAAAATTAAATGGGAATTAATCTGTACAGTAAGTAAGTTTTTTTTCATTTTTTTTAAACAATTTTAAGGAATTATTTACTGAAAACAAACTTCTTTTTCTATCTGAAAAGTTTGTTTTGTTTTAGTCTTTAAACCAGAGAAAATACTTAGTAAGATATTGAGTTTTGAGAATTAAGCGAAATTCAACTTCTCAGTTTGACACCTTGAAATTGGGCCTCTGTCTCTTTAAGAAGCTCCTCCTCTTTTCCGACACTCCGCCTACAACACGTCATCACAACGTTTCTCCATTAAGTCGTTTACAAACATTCTTTGGAGCGTTTCAACTCGTTCGTGTCATAAGCTCGGCAGACTGGCAGTTCATAAACATTTTTGCTGGTTTGTGTTTATGGTCTTCCCATCAACATTTGAACACAAGGCTACAAAAAAACGTCCAGACACAAAAGCACACCAAATGTCATAAAAAAAAATGAATTGGTTCCCGCTCCACGCTGCTGGTGTGAGACGTTATCAGACTCTAGGTGCCCTTTAAAGGCCAGCTCTCCGAGAAAACTGTTTATTTATACAGTAGTAGACAAAGACATACAGTCCTGTGTGCTGCATGGAGCACAGTGACCCTGAAGATCTGAGTTTTAAGGGCTCAGAGCCAGACTGCAGTGCTTACCGCCTCGCCGAGAACAAGCCCGGTCAGATAGGAGGATAGCATATAGTCAAGGGCCTTCCATTCATCAAAGTCCCAGTGGAACTGTTTACGGATGCGGCTTTAAAGTTGTAGTTTTGGGGCTTTTAAGGTCAGATGGGGCAAATGTGAGTATTAATTTTTTGAAAAAATCAGTGAAAATCCTGTGACTTCAAAATGAGTTTAATTAGGAAGAAATCTCCCCTCTCCCACCCCAAAAAGTGCTTGTTTTAACCACAGAACTGACCGCAAGTGAAGCTACAAATCCTACAAACCACAGTTACAAAAAACCTCAGATAATCTGCTCTTTTTTTTTTCCTTTTTCCAAATTGACTTCTTTAATCCACTTTGATTTGTTATTTAACCTGCCAAGGCAAGCAAGATGAAAGTTGGACTTCCACTGATGAGAAGTGATGAGCAACAAAAAATTAAAAGGAAAAAAAAAGAAGAAATCCTCCAGTTAAGGATTTGGGGGTGAAAGAAGGCCAGCATCTTTTTTCTTTCTCTCTCTCTTCTTTTTGGAGGTCAAATGTGCTTTCAAAACAAAGCTGAGCCTCACGTGAAAGCCTGCACACAGAAAATAAAGAGACAGTCTTACTGGAGCACAGATGGTGAGTGATGTCTTTTTCTGTCCTCCGTGGATTGAGAGGAAGCTGCCTGTGTGCACACGTCTCATCACGAGCCACCGGTTATGACTGCAGCGGCCGGTCAGCTCCATCTTCCTGACTGTGGGTAGCTCCTGATGGTAATAAAAAGCCTCCATGATTAAATAGACTTTTGGGAAATTAAACTCATTCTTTCCTAATAAACGAGAAAGTTTGAGAAGATGTGGGGGTTGCAGTTGAAATCTGCTAATAGACAGGTAGCCTTTTTTTATATATATATACTCTGATGTTAAATCAAAGAGAATATTTTTGGTAGTATTGCCTGTGGACTGTTTGGCTTGGGTTAAGTGTTTTGTTTCCTCCTGACAGAGCTGGTGTAACCGAGTCCAGTTTGTAGGTTTGTAGGCCACCTTGCTTCACACGAACTCTTCAAATCTTCCCCTACATTTTCCAGGGGATTGAGATCAGAGTCCAAGACATTGTTTTTGTTGTCCTTTAGCCCCTTTGCAACTAATTTAGTGGTATGCTTATGACCATTGTCCATTTGGAAAACGTATTTGTGCCTGAGCTTTATCTGCCTTGCTGATGTCTTGGGGAAAGGTTACAGATTATGCCATCTGTTTTGCCACTAGCTGGATGCTGTTTCAAACTTTCTGTTATTACAGCCAAACACTTAAGCTTCAGTTTCATCAGACTAAAATCAAAGTATTTTTCTTTGAATGTATTTCAATGCCTCTAACCAGTTTTTTTAAGTTTTGGCTTCTTTGTGGTTGAGCAGCTCTTCAGCCCACAGCCACAAAGAAGTCGAGCGGGTAATGATGCTCTCTTCTGCAGCTTTGGCCAACATCCTAACAGAGACTTTTGCTTTTTGTTCTAGGGATTGATGCGCACACCAAAATATGTTTTCCTCTGGGACACGGAACACATCTCCTTCCTGAACGGTATGATACCTGGATATTTCCGTCATTGTACATTTAATAGTTTGAGTCGATGAACGGGGCACATTTACATATCTGAAAATGATACCCAAGGATGAAGAGTGGAGTTCATAGTTCTCTTTCCGGTATCATGCATGATTCAATTTTTAAATTTATTTCTTTATGATGTCACACAAGGAAGTGTTGTGATTGAGATATTTGGTGTACCTCCATCCATTTAACTCAGTTGTTTCATATTATTCTGGTAGAAAATTGTGTAAACGCATTGTAATTGTCGTGGTCAGCAATTAATCAGTTAATTTGTAATGATAACTTAAAATGAGCTTGCTCATTATTATTGAAATGATTAACATTTTTTGATCAGAGACACGATAATCCATTTTATTTTTGGTTTTTGCTGTAAGTTGTTTTTTTCACGTTTTGTTTGTCCTTTTTGTTGATATTTAAAAAATATCTTCCAGTTCCAGTGTTAGGTGTTTTTTACAAAATGCATCTTTGAGAGGGCGAACTGCCATTATCTATGTACTGTAAACATCACTTGAAAATCGTCTCAAAATAATTATTATTATCTATCGTAATCATTTCTGAAACAATTTATTGTACATCTAATTGTAATTTTAATGTACGTTAACTTGTGAATTGGAAGGACAGTGAAAGTAAAAATCACCCAAATGTGACCTAAAATGTTTAGTCTGATTTAACGTCGCACCGTTTCGAAAAAGGTGTGTCTTTCTGCAGTGTGGTTAAAAATCTGGTTTCAACTGCAACTGTTCCATATTCATGTGTAACACTGGTGAAAAAACACGTGCATACCGTCTGTCATTTACAAACCAATTTTGTGAATTTGAATTTGACTGATTTTAATTTCATACATACTAAAACAAAAACAGTTGCATATTTATTTATTTTTTTCTTACCTCAAAAGTGATATTAAAGAGGGTAATAAAAAGAGCTTGTGAACTACTTCCAGAACTAAAAGATAAATATAATTGGGTCAGATTGAATTTGTCAGCAGATGGAAGAGTCACATCTGGAAAATGTGCAAAATAAAAAGAGCTTTCATTTGTGTTGGTCTATTAAGTGTGCTTTTGACCGCAGCACCCGTTGCCAGATGCAGACAGATGGACGGGGGTTTTGTCGGGGTTTGGGCCCGGCTCCAGGAGGTCGCCCTCGGTGCGAACGTTTTCATCTACTTGTAGATGTCCGATAGCCAGATTCCAGCAGACGGTGGATTAAAAACCGGCTGGGGAAAGGAAGATTATGTGAGCAAAAGTCCTGTATCTGGCTGGCCTTGCCGAAAATGCATTATTCATTATTAACGGCAACAGCAGCTCAGTTGGTGCAGCCGGGGCTGGTAAACAAACTGTGGCTCACCAGAACTCTCTGTTGTGACAGTTTTCTGTAATCCAGTCACTACCAGCTCCTCTGATGATACAGAAGTTTTTACTCAATGAGCATAAAACTAATATATTTTTGAGACAATTACGAGTATTTTCCAGTGTTTTCTTGCTATTACTATCAAACACCAAATGAAGAATCGTTACATCGGTATTGACTCTGATGAGGTCACTGAATCAGATTAGCACCATCTCTAGTTTAAAATCCTTTTTTAAGCAAAATTTATCTCCTGAGAATTTTCATTATTGGCTAATAAACAGCTCAATATTCTGACGGAAATTTGCTATGGTACTGCAGATATTACTTCAAATAGTTTTTATAACACTGGGATTTTCCACATACGTACAATTAACAACATGGACGTTTGTTTTGGAGCCATAAATTAAAACAGACCTCGGCTGTCTCTCCACTGGTCCAGTGTATCTCTTGCTTGCAAATTTGCCGTGTGTTGAATGCTTGGTGTGTCCCCTTCTGAAAATATCCAGCAAAAGAATACATTTTCAATTTGTATATTTTCTTTCAACAATTTCTTGCTTCTTACCACTCTTCCATAAAAGCCAGATTTGTGCCATTCACACCTGAGCCGTGGAATCCTGCAGCTCTCCCATTGCAACCATGGATTGCAATGCTAGGGCTAAATAATCAGTAACAATATATATTGCAACAGACACAGACGTGATCAGTATCTATAGAAAATACACCTGATAGAATATTAATTAATTGCATTGAACTGCGATCCAGAACCTCACAGCATTGTGGGAGATGTAGGCAGAGGAAAGGCTTTAACGTCTCAATGTCTCATGACCAGCTAAGCAAGGTTGATGGCATCAAATGATGCTGGCTTAAAAACAATGACATAGTGCAAACTGCATAAAACAGGACAGGTCACACCACCACTTTGGCAGCATTGCAGATATTTGAACAAAAAGCTAATCAATAGTTAGTTGTACGAGACCTTGACATTGTGATACGGTTTTCAGCCATACTGTCCAGATTTACTTCTAAGCGTAATTTTTTTCTTAACATTTCTAACTCTGCACTGTTTTGTGGTCCTTCATGACACAATGTGGGAAAGTCCTGCAAGTATGAATATTTTCAAAGCCATTTAAAATTCCTTCTGGTTTTCTTCAGCTAGATAATGATTTGACACAGTAGCGGCAAAAAGAGTATTCAAATTTTTTCACAGCCTGAAATTTCTCCATCTCATTATTAAAAGATTTTCACTCACACAGGAGTGGATGTACCTTCAAATGAAACACAAATGATTTGACGAAACATGACACACTTTTTCATACGTAAAAAGGACGTAAGAAATGTTCTTCACATGTTGCACCTGCACCATGATCAAGTTAGCCAAGTTTATAAAACATTTCAGCAACAAGGCATTTCACATCTTTTAAAAATAATTCAGTCACCAACTACGAAGCAAGTAATGTGTATTACTTGAAATTCAATGTTATGTAATACACATTACATTTTCCAACACCCTTGTCCCTTGTGGGGTCAGGAGAACATGCAAACTCCATGCAGAAAGACCCCTAGAAAGTCCTGGGAATCAAACCCAGGACCTTCTTGCTGCAAGGCAACATAGCCACCAACTGTGCCACTGTGCAGCCCCTAACAAAGACATATCAAAAATATTTATCAATGTTCCAGTCATTATGAATCAAAAACTGAGTTTAGAGTTTTGCAGTTTTCTGGAAGTTTTGTGGTGTATGTATGTTGGTGCTAAGTCATTCACTTTTAAGCTTACAAAAGTTTTTAAAAGTCTGTTTTTTGAGTTCCAGAGTACTTATTTTTCGGGGTAGAATAAGAGTAGATGGTGTTAAAAGCATATGTCCAGTGCAAAGTTCAAGTTCATTTATTCAGTCGATTGAAAGTGTTTTGATGTTTTTTCAGTTGTCCCTGCCGTGCCTCTCACCGTAGCGTAACAAAGCCAGGTTCGGGTTTCAGGTTTGACTTTCTCCTATCTTGATGTTTAGTTGTAACCGGTAAACTCTGGAGTGGCGCTCACACCAAAAATCTTTCTTCTCCGAGTGGGCCTTTTTCTCACGACCCCCCAAGGAAACTCTAACCTCCTCCGAGGGCTGGAAACACAAGGCCCGCCCTGCACAAAAAACCTCACCAAGCGCCGCACCATCTTCCAGGATAATAACTGACACTGGTCAGTCAGAGCACACTTTGTCGCACATCGACTCTCGTGTTGTTTGCAACAAGCTATTTGATACGTTATCTATAGAATCAGTTACATAGAATGAGCCAGAAATCAGATACTGAAGATCCCTTTTCAGGACCCGCATCGGATAATTAAACACATTAAAGAGATGGTTTCTAATAATGTGCAGCGCGGCAAAAAGACATCACTCGTTCCTGCCTGCCTTTACAAGAAAATTGTTTGAGCAGTTGAACGTCTTTTGGGGTTTTTTTTGTTAAATGTCCTTAAACAGTGCTTCCTTTTTACCGGATCGAGTTACGTCCTATTCACCAGCTTACAAGAGGGAAGTGGAAGTAGGTGGACTGCGACTGACACAGAGCACCGTCACAGGCTGAAGTGTGCTGACAGATGACTGTCAGAGAACACTTTCACTTCTTTTCCTGGACTTTAACTCCAGTTAAAAAAAAACACAACTATACATATTTAACAGTTTGCCTGAGCACATTTCATCCGATATGCAGTGGCAGGAAAAAGATTGTTAATTAAACTGCAGGTTTTACACATAATATAGAACAAACAGATGACAGACAATAATATAACGTACATTCATTCAAAATAATAATACTAATACAAAAGCAATAATAATAGATTATCATCATCATTGTTGTTGCATTTTCTGAACTATAGTCTTAGAAAATGCAAACATAAAAAAAAAACAAGTAAAGCCTGGTGGCCCGCCAGGCTTATAATACACTGGGGGAAATCCTGGGGGAAATATATATATAAAATGTGTAATTGTTTAATTACAAGTAATGATTGTCATAAATTTAGAACTTTTTAATAAAGGTGCACAGAAATGACCACTCCTTGAAAAATTATTTGAAAGGGTTAAATAATTTAACACAACTTTTAAATTAGTCCAGTTTTAACCACCTTTATCACATCGTTTACATTCAAGAAGATCAAAAGCCTTCTAAACACCCATTTTTGCGCTGCGACCCTGTAATCTGCCTATTTAATTTGTTTCAATCTGTTTTTAAAAATGTTAAATACTTCAGTCTGTTTTTGTCACACTTTAATTTACATTTCATTTCATCTCTTGTCTGGTGTTGTATTCTTAATGACAGGTGGTTTTGTTCTTCGTTTCACCTTGTCTCGCAGCCCAGAGTGGCTTCATGTGGGCGTTATTAATAAATTGGCATTGTCATTGGCAAAGAAGTAATTTGTTGAATGCAACAAACATGAGGAGAGTGTTGAGTTCCCCATTTATGTGCATAAAGGCTCTTTTGAAGTACCTTTGTTTGGTACAAAACCCACCACTGAGACCAGCTTTTCTTTTTAATTCACCTGCATCTCTGCATGTGAGTGAATGTTGCACACAGCTTCCCTCTTCTTTATTTACTTATTAATTAATTTAGTGTCTGCGTGGCCTTGTGGTGTGTACCAGCAT